TCTGGTTTTAACTTTTAGCCAAATTTACTTAAACCACCAACTGCTCGGCACTTTCCTAACATTTTTCTTGTCATGAGATTCAGGCTTTCCATATTGTGCACCATTACAATTTTTTATAAATATTTCACCATCCGTCACGCCTCTTCAACATGATACAAGTTTATTAAAAGTGACATTTAGATTTGTCCTGGAAACATAGGACAGGTCATTAAGAGAGCACCACTTATGTGCATCAAAAGTCGGCTCAACGGTGTAAATCAAGAAATCACGATGTTTCGGTATCAGCAATTTTAATAATAAGCTAATTTAAAGGTGATCATTTACAAAGCGATATCTGCTGCTCTACTGTTTTAATGACCTTCGTGTGGTGACAAATATTGTAGAAGAGGAAGATGGCTTAAAAAGGTAATGTTTGATTCGCAGGAAGTAGCCTACCTTCACTAAATGCATAACTTCAATACCCGAGCTTTGATGCTACCGCGTCTGGCGTCATGAAGGATAAATACTTATTGCCCTTCACCCTATTCATCAATTTGGCACGCTAAACCTAACCCTACTTGAAGCATTTATTATAATTTCATTCTGAGTTATTTCTTATTTTCGACTTCTATATGTTTTGCGTTGATTTGCGCATTTTTAGCACTGTTCATTCTAAAGTAATTGTAAATTATATAAGCTTAAACTTGGGTAAACTTATAAACAATTGCATTCCCAAGTGGTTTTACAAATATTTGGTTTAACAAGTTGCTTGGCATAGCCATAAACAGGATTGGGTGGCCAAAAGGACCTTTTATAGTACTGTCAGCTTCGCAGAGTGAGATATTATTTTTGGTTTTCTGCAATCCCTACCTCCGTCCTCAAAGTGAAATTAAAAATGGGTGGCGCATCCAAAAAGATCTCAACTAAAATGGGTCATCAGGGTCAACAAATCTCCTCCTATCTTACCTTACCTTCACCTTTGGACCTCCCCTTTCCTGATTGTCATCGTTCATCCATCCACGCAGTGGCAACATGAGAATAATTTACAGCTATTAAACAATGGGGGTTGGCATAGCAATACCTCTGTGCAATGTGCATGTAGCAATGCATTCAGAGTGAAATATTCCACTGTCGGAATTTCATTGTTGTCTAAGTGAGGGCGAATGACCCCATAGTTTTTTAGTCTGAGAAAGGCATGGAAATAGTCATTTTTAGACAAAGATTATAAATTAGTCCTTTCATTAGATGTTGTGGAAAAGAATGAAAAACATCAGCCATGCACTTACTAAGCACTGTAAAATTTGGAGTGCTCTTCCTCTGAGAAAAGATTTTGAGCCAGTCTTTAAATAATAAGTAGTAAATTCTGTATGTTTTTAAAGTGCTCCAAAGGGGAATATTAAGAATAAATATTTCTCAAAAAATACAGCGGATGCACTAGATTGATGAATACTTGCCATTTGACGACTTTTATTAAAACTCGAAAATCTCGGTGGCATGATATCTGATTTTCCATTACCCAGGATACCCATGCCAAGAAAGGACCATATCTTCATGGTCTACCTGGTTAATATATCCTTCCCTCTGCATTTTCATGTGTCAAATTATACAGTTTTTCTGTTATAGGCACATATTACAGTCGCATTTATTCTGTCTGGACTATAAAGCTTCGGAAACGTTTGCATTCAAATATTGCGAGTCAGTAGTTGCGTTGAAACAGTTACATTAATCGGGCGGATAACAGAACAAGTATTTTGGATGATGTAGTTGCTCCCTTACTTTTGCTTTCTTTAACTATAATCAGAGATTTGTATGCTTTTGTTTACTTTGATTTACGCAA